ATTTATTTAATCGTTGACTTGCCATATGCAAATCAAGGGTGTTATATTTCTGCCAGAGAATTTGTTTAATGTTATTTTTAACAGGCAAAAAAATGTTGAGTAATATTGTAAGTGTTCTATTTACATTAGTTATTTGTTCTAGATTTCCATCTGAATAGGATACAAAGCAGAACTACTACGATATTTCAAGTTATGCACTAAAAACAACTTCTTTTTAAGGAAAGTTAAAAAATAATTGTTTTAATGTGTATGACCCATGAATATATGTACTTTCCTAAGATATACTAAAACACTGTATTTCTAGATTATGTAGGAGAAAAATATGGGAAGACATTCAAGTTCATAAGATTTAAATATAAAATCAAAAACAATATTGGCAAGTAGATTAATACAAAATACATTAGGTTTTTATCTTCATTTATATATTTTTGTAAAATATAATAAGTTAGGAATGTTTCATTGAAGCATCTTTGATTTTAGTATATTAACAATTATTATTCGAGTAATCAATAATATATATCAAAAGGGTTATCAAATTCATGTTTGCATTCTTTAGAATATATAACATGTTTTTTGCTTTACAAATCAAGAATATATTGTAACTATCAAATATGGCTCTATTTGTAAACCAAATTCCCAATCTTGCTATATATAAATAAATTTATATTTATATTTAGGGAGTTAAACACATTTTATATTGAGAAAAAACTTCCGATATTGAAAAAATCTACAATCATGTAAATGTTTTATAGTTCATACCACATTACTTTTTAGACTCTTAACACCAATGTTGTTTCTTAATGAATTGGTATTGATTTGAATATATTGTATGCTTGAACAATAATGTTATATTGTAATACTAAAGTTTACAAATGTGTTTCTTATGGCGCACTTCATTATTTTGGCATTATTTAAATATTTTCAATGATATTATAGGTGTATTACAAAATTTTATTTACTATAAAAACAAGCATTTGATGATTTATATTTTTAATTTTTTCTTTTAAGTTATGTTTGTATGGTAAAATTGTTGAGTATTATAAAAATCGCTTTTACATATAATTGTAACTTTTAGTTACATAGTTTATTTTATAAAGTATAACAATAAGCTGTTACTGCAAGTCGCAATCATCCGCGATTTTCAAGTGGTATTATATAACTATTACATTTCGTTTTATATGATTATACTTTTAATCTAAATGGTGTGATTTAATATACACTATCAAATTATTCCATTTTGAACATTTTTTGTTCTAGCCCTGCAATATAACTTGAAGGATTGTAGTATAGTCTGCCTCTAAAAACCTGTACAGGTATAGTCAATTTACATTAGTTATATGTTTTTGTTTTTAATCTTTTCTAATTTGTGGATGAACATGGCTCCTCTATTGCCAACTTTTGAGAGCGGAACAATATATTAATCGCAGGTTGAATTTTGTGTATTTATTTAAAGCTTTAATTTCACTGGTTGAATATAATTTTTACTTTATTTGATTGATTTCTTTTGCATAACACGTTTCTAGGTTGTAGATATTAAGGAATAAAGTATTTTATAAAAAATTTTTAGTTTATCTGTTCTGTATTGCAACGATTAATGTATTTTAACTAAACATACATTTATAACACCATGATTCCAATTGAACCTTATCATATATTGCTGTTACAAGGGTGTCTTTCTTTGAGCTTGCTTCGTATGTGATATTTACCAAATACGTCCGCTCATAATTATCTATTTGATTTTATTGTATTCACAACATTCCTTTTTCTAATGAAAAGTTTACCCATATGGAGTTAAATAATTTATTTTGTAAAACAGTGTTGTATAAAATAAGTGTTATTATGTGCAAATTAGTCTAGGATAAATATTATCTACTTTGCTTTAAGTTGGATATATCGGTGTTTATTTGTCTCTTTTTATTGTTTTATATATTTTTGTTGAAATTATTTTAAGAAGTATACATAATTCACTTTTTGTGTTTATCATGTATATAATAAACGATTATTGCATCTTATACCAATTTTAATTATGNTTGTATAAAATAAGTGTTATTATGTGCAAATTAGTCTAGGATAAATATTATCTACTTTGCTTTAAGTTGGATATATCGGTGTTTATTTGTCTCTTTTTATTGTTTTATATATTTTTGTTGAAATTATTTTAAGAAGTATACATAATTCACTTTTTGTGTTTATCATGTATATAATAAACGATTATTGCATCTTATACCAATTTTAATTATGTGTTTTTAATATTATATTAATCTGAGTTTAACTGATTCATTGAATGCAACCAGAATTTGTTTGTTTTATAAAAGTATATCTAAAATATATTATATTTATATAAAATTACAACATTTAATTCTATGATTTTTGAAAAACCCCATTCTACTCTTTGTTTTTTGTTTTTTATTTATTGATGTTTGTATATACTATTATTTAAATGTTAACAAATAAATTATGTAGTATTTTTATATAAATATATTCTGTGTTATAGCAGAATAAACCAATAGTTTGTTTATCAGATCTTTTGATTTTATAAATTAATATTTACAGTACTATTGTAGCATTCTATCTACAGAATGTTTTGTGTTATTAAACATATATTTTGTAAAAATTTAAGTATTTTTCGCTATTTTGTTCTAAAATCTCATCATAGTATACTTTTGTAAATAAACATTTTTCTTACATTTGCTTATTTTTATGTTATTCACATTTAAAAATTTGAATCAATTATCATCTTTTTAAGAAACCAAGGGCTACAATAAAATCATGAACATTCATTAGTAACATAAAAAAGTTTTGTGATTGTAAACAATTCCGTTTTACTGATACGTTTACCTTAAGAGCGGTTTTAAATGTTTATTATCTGTTTTTTATTCCACCTTATGTTACATAACAATTTGAAATTGTAATGTTTATACCTGGAAGATTTTAGTTGTATCTTCTTTGTTTCAAATGTATGTTTGATCAAGAATATAACACAAACAATAGTACATATCATTTAATGATTTGTTTAGAGGAGTATTATAATAAATTTGCTCACATATCACTTTTATACGAAGAGAAAATCATGATATTGCCATTTATTTTTCTTATATATTTAGCTTTTATCTATTTATTTGCATAAATATCTCAAAGAAGGTTGATTCATAGTGTAATAGTATACTTATAATGCAATTGTAAGCAAATCTCATACTACTAGCATATTTTTTGGGGCAAATCATTGATCTATTTCATTTTCACCTGTTCTTGTTGACACCTCCTCATAAAATTCTTAGTCAATTTTTACCCATTCATATGCAGCAGGGACTAGAGAATGATAAAGACGCAGTGTTTAAGAAATACTACACTACAATCTTTCCATACAACGAGATATTCAGAGTATTGAACATCAACGAGAACAAAGAATTGGCTTTTGGTAAAGATTCTGGCACATTCATAAGGTATGAAACATTCTGTAATGCGAATGATTTCTATAGGAGAATATGCCAAGTGATTCCATATAGAATAGATGTGGGATCCACATTCAAAAACAGACCAACCAAATACGATCAAAACATTCTGGTTAGTAGGCAACTTGTCTTTGATATTGATTTAACAGATTACGACCGAAAATGCTGTAAGGAAAAGAAGATCTGTGCAAAATGCTATGACCTCATCAAATGTGCAATAGAAGTGTTGAGTCACATTCTAAAGAAGCAATTCGGCTTTGATCAGTTTGGCTTTGTGTTCAGTGGACGAAGAGGTGTTCATTGCTGGGTATTTGGTGAAGATGACTTGGATGCACAGGTAAGAACCAACATATTCAAATACTTTGATATTGTGATATCGAGAAACTTCCTTGAAAGTGAATACGAAAGAATTCTACAAAAATACGCAGGTAACACCGAGAAAATAGAAGATCTTTTGAAATGGTTTCCAAAAATAGACAAACAGGTGATTGTACAGTCAACACACTTGATCAAAATGCCATTTTCGATACATCCGGAAACCATGAATGTCTCAGTGCCACTTGATCCATCAAACATCAAGGAATTTGAAGAATTGCCTACGGTTTACAGCTTTCTGGACGGTAAAGAAAATATCGATGAATATGTCAAAATAATGAACAAATGGGTTGAATGAATGATATAAGTTATTGGCAGAGTGTAGGTGACCCAATTAGTGGTAGAAATATTTTACCTCCAAAAAAAGTATAAAATAATTCATATAACAAGGGTATGGTAAGAAAACCTAAACAAAAGACTGATCACTATTTCAGTCAGACACAGGAGACTGAGATAGTGCTAAGTAAGATACCTGTAAATAGAATTAGACGCACAAAGATGGTGAGATGTAGGGAGGAAACACCTCGCAGAACTAGGAAGACCATAGATAAGACACCAATCAGGAAAATGAGGATATTATCGCCATCAGCAACAGTTGAAATAGGTCCCAGCCCACATTCTACCAAATATCATGCCATGTTGAAGTGTACTCAAAAGAACAGGGTATTTTCATCAATCAAAAGACTAAACTTCACTGGAGAATAAATCACCTATTTATGGCTTCTCTGTCACCTCAATCACCTTGTACTTCATGACATCCTTTGGTTTGTCTTCCTCTTCTCTCTTTTCGTCGACATTTGCCCTGAATGCATCGAGAATCTTTTCGTTTTCATCTGTGATTATCTTCAGCTGTGCAATGATCTTCCTGATTTTATTGTTGTTTTCCATAAGTTTCAGGGAATCCTTGCTTCTCAGAATCTCCTCCTTCGTCTTTATCGTGCTTGAGAACATTATGTTTGATAGGCTGCCTTCAGGTTTGTCTTTTTCCTTCTTCTCTGCCACTTTCCCCTTCTTTGCCTCATCGTCTCCCTTGCTTTCCTTTACGATTATTATCTTCTCTCCTTGTGGCTTCTTTTCAACCTTTTCCATCTTCTTCACCTTGAACTTCTTTGCCTCTACCTTTTCCACCTTTTTCTTAGTCATTTCCTCAGGCAAGCTGATCTTGTTTGTTTCTAGAATTTTCTCCAGGTTCTTGGACATGTTGAGTTTTATCTCACTTTTAGGAGCCACTGTTTTGGTTGCCTCCTCCTCAATTTCTCCTGCTTTGATTGCGTCTTTCTTTGCTTCACGTATTTTGCGAGCAATGCGCTTCAGTCGTTTATTCTGATCCTTTCTGATCTTGTTGCGTATTTCAAGACTCCTCTGCTTGTGTTTTTCGGCATTCTTGTTCTCCTGCTTCTTCCAGTCGTTTATTATTACAGTCTCTGATGGCTCAGGTAGATCGATTCTTGTCTCTGCCTTGACACCTTGCATTGCTCCAAGTGATACAATGATGAATTGGTATAACATGCGTTTGTTTAGATTGGCGTTTTATAACTTATTCTGATACATAAATAAATAAAATAATGGATCATGTCCTTTTTTTTCCCCACGTGGGGAAAAAAAGGGACCTTAGAAATTTTAAGGTAAAAATCCACCCTTTATATTTAGTAGGTTTTTACCCTTATGTTTAGCTACTACCAGAATGTGCTGGAACCTGTTATGAATGGGCCTGTTGCGGGTCTCGTGGAGTTCCTCAGAGTTAGAGGAGTGTTGAAGCGAGTGGTTGCATGTCCAACGTGCTCTGTTGACATGGTATGCAAGCCATACACCCGCAACAAAGATGGAATGGCGTTCAGGTGCTACAACCATGATTGCAGTG